TTGCCTGGTGGGCAGGGGCCGCCTGGATAGGAGAGGCGGCCGGGCAGCACATAGAGGACAGTGCATTTCTTGGTTCCTCTATGTGAGCTCAGCCGCCTCTCCTATCAATCTTCTGCATGCGGTCGGCTCCTGTATGATCTCCCCACGGCTGTCCCTCCTCCAGCGTCCCCTCCCTCATCTCCTCCAGCAGCCCCCTCCCTCATCTCCTCCAGCGGCCCCCTCCTTCACCTCCTCCAGCGGCCCCGTCCCTCATCTCCTCCAGCGGCCCCGTTTTTCACCTCCTTCAGCGGCCCCTTCCCTCCTCTCTTCCAGCGGCCCCCTCCCTCATCTCTTCCAGTGGCCCCCTCCCTCATCTCTTCCAGTGGCCCCCTCCCTCATCTCTTCCAGAGGCCCCCTCCTCATCTCCTCCAGCAGCCTCCTCCCTCATCTCCTCCAGTGGCCTCCTCCCTCAGCTCCTCCAATGGCCCCCTCCTTCATCTCCTCCAGCGGCCCCCTCCTTCATCTCCTCCAGCGGCCCCCTCCCTCATCTCCTCCAATGGCCCCTCCCTCATCTTCTCCAGTGGCCCCCTCCTTCATCTCCTCCAGCAGCCCCCTCCCTTATCTCTTCCAGTGCCCCCCCATCTCATCTCTCTCTTTTTCTTTCTTTCTTTCTTTCTTTCTTTTCTTTCTCTCGCCGTCTCCTGTTTCTCTCCTTTCTTTCTTTCTATCTTTCTTTCTCTCTCTCTTTCTCTCTCTTTCGTTCTTCCTCTCCCTCTGTCTCCTGTTTCTCTCCTTTCTTTCTCTCTCTTTTCATTCTTTTTCTCTCTGCTCTCTCCGTTCTCTCGTTATTTTCTTTCTCTCTTTTTCTTTCTTTCCTTCTGTTTTTATAGTTCTCTCTTTCTTTCTTTCTCTCTCTCGCTGTCCCGTTTCTCTCCTTTCTTTCTCTTTCCTTCTTTCTTTTTCTCTTTCTTTCTTTTTCTCTTTCTTTCTCTCTCTTTCTCTCTCTGTCTCCTATTTCTCTCCTTCCTTCCTTCCGTCCTTCCTTCCTTCCTTCCTTCCGTCCTTCCTTCCTTCCTTCTTCTTTCTCTTTCTTTCCCGCCATCCCTCTTTCTATATGTCTCTCTTTCTTTCTCTCTCTCTGTCTCCTGTTTCTCTCCTTCCTTTCTTTCTTACCCTCCTTCTATACGTCTCTCTCTCTCTCTCCTTTTTCCTTCCTTCTTTCCTCTTTCTTTCTTTCTTTTCTTCTTTCTTTCTTTTTTCTCTCTGTTTCCTTTTTCTCTCCTTTCTTATTTTCTCTCTGTCCCTCCTTCTTTCCCTCTTTCTTTCTTTCTTTCCCTCCTTCCAGATGTCTCTCTTTGTTTCTCTCTCTCTCTCTCTCTGTCTCCTGTTTCTTTTTCTTTCTTTCTTTCTTTCTTTCTTTTCTCTCTCTCTCTCTCTCTCTCTCTCTCTCTCTCTTTCTTTCCCACCATCCCTCTTTCTATACGTCTCTCTTTCTTTCTCTCTCTCTGACTCCTGTTTCTCTCCTTCCTTTCTTTCTTACCCTCCTTCTATACGCCTCTCTCTCTCTCTCCCCCCCTCTCTCTCTCCTTTTTCCCTCCTTCCTTCCCTCTCGTTCTTTCTTTCTTTCTTTCTCTCCTGTTTCTCTCCTTTCTTTCTTTCTCTCTCTTACCCTCCTTCTTTCCCTCTTTCTCTCTCTCTCTCTCTCTCTCGCTCTATCTCGCTTTCTTTCTCGCTTTCTTTCTCGCTTTCTCTCTCGCTCTCTCTCTCTCTCTCTTTCTTTCTATCTCTCTCTTTCACTCTGTCTTTCCCTCCTTCCTTCCTTCCTTCTTTCTTTCTTTCCCTCTTTCTTTTTTTCTCACCTACAAAAAAATGTAAAAAAAAAATAAAATCTAAAATCATGAAAAATTAAATAAAAATAAAAACCTACTGACATTAGTGGTGGAATTACTAGGGTCGCAGAGGTCGATCTTGCGCCCGGGCCCTGGCGTTCTGCCACTGGGCTCCAGGGAATGGGTCCCCGGGCTTTGGGCTGCTCAGTCCAAAGCGCCTGGCCCTTTTTTTTGTCCCAGTCCGGGCCTGCCCACAACAGTAAAATCAGTCTGTATATGCACCAAAGCATGCTTGTTATACTCACTGTTTTATACCTGTGATTTTTATAAATTTTCCCCTGGTTAAAGTTGACAAAGGTAACATGAGATATTGTCCAAAGCAACCAATCAGATGGAAACATTAGGAAAGTAATCCTATACGTTCACTCTAATCAGACCATTTGCTGTGAACAGCCCTCCCTGACCTTAAAGTGTTACTAAACCCACAACAGTAAAAACAGTCTGTATATGCAGTAAAGCATGCTTGTTATACTCATTGTGGAACCCAAGGGGTTAATCCTCTGCATTGTGTAAAAAGGCTGTTTGATCCTGTCTTCCCTGATCCTCCCCTACTTGTTCCCAATCCATCTGCTGATAGTACAGAGCTCTAGGAGTCACTCTGCACATACTAGTTGAGTGTGTATGAGTAGGGTTTTTTTTTTCTTTGGGAGGGTGCATGTGATCAGCACAGGGCAGGGGTTATGCAGCCTCATAGAACAATCAAGCGAGAATGAAAACTCCCCCTACAAGCTTTAACCAGTGCTCTGCTGGACACTGATAGAAGTCACAAGACTGCTATATACTGCTGATGAGAAAAGGTATTTAGCAGTGTATATTTTCTACAATAATTGCATTTCCATGTTCTGTGTACTGTGGGAGACCAGATAAAGTGATTGCAGATTCATGGATTAAGTAATACTTTAACTTTATTTTTAAATGAAAGTTCAATAGGGCATTAAATGCCAATGACTTGAGGCATAGCTCTGCACAGTTGCCATACTAACCTGGTATTTGCATGTTTTGCCAATAAAAAACACCTTATACTTTTCCTGATTTCTTATTTCAAAAGTTAAAATTACTCTGTGATGTTCTCAGAAAAAGTGGAATAGTGAAAAACAACTCATTTCCACAATGACAGATTGAAGAAAGAGATGAAAATTAATCAGATTTTTCCAACAAGCCAGATTATAAGATCCTGCAGATATCAATCAGTTGTGTTTTGAAGACCTAGCTACCCTGTCAAAAAAACAAGGACAGCCTCTTCACTGCCTGTTGTATCCTTATGCACTACAGTGATAACATGCTGCATATGTTTTTTCACAGTAGAATATTGTATTCCTGTGCAGTGTGCATTATCACAGTAGCTTATATGTTCCTGTGAGAGAACATGTAGCAGGGTGATTTACAAGCAGGAGATTGTGGGAGACAAGAGCACACTTGTAATCTATCGATGAGAGAATCCATAACATTGCCTTCTTTTCTCAAAATCTATGCTACAGGAACAAAATTTTTGAGACACCCACTCTGACAATGAAACTTCGTTTGAGCCATCAAGTCTACTTCACAGAATCCCTTTACAGCAGTGTCAGTGAAACATCTCAAACTACTACTGGTGGCAACAAGGCTGAACTTTCAGTTGGTGTCCATGAATCTACTAATTTCAAGATCATGCACAACAATACTGACATTTATTAGTTCATGAACTGCGCAACTGGTGGCTCTAAATCACCATTTATTGTGGTATGCATTGCTGAGTTACTCAGTGTGAGCCAGCTGCAACCTCAAGCTAGTCATTTTATCAATAGAGCTACACCTGTAACTGCAAACAGTAATGTCACTTCATGTGGACAGCTCAGCAAAAACCCCAATGACTTGATTCCTTATTACTGCAAAGGAGGTTTAGCCTACACCACTATTTAGCTGTATATTTTCCAAGTTTCAAGATGACATGACTGACAGCTCAAGCAGCCCAGAGTCTTGCTGGCAATTATAGCCCTAAGAAAGTTTTCAACCCCAGTCTTCAAACAAGGGCATTCTCTATGTTACAGGCTGAAAGCATAGCCTCCTGAGGAAAGAATCCTACGGAGCTCCTTAAGATCAACAAAAGAAAAGAGAGACTTTTCAGCTTCCACATTTAAGTGGTTACCCATAGAGAAGTGACTTGATGCTTTCAAGGACTGTTTCAGGCACCAAGACACCATTGTCAAAATCATCCCAAATCTGGTGTGTTGGGGCTTGTGTATAACTTAAACCGTATGTACTTTTACTGCACTATAGTGAAATTGCAAGATTTCAGGCAGATTTGCCCACTTGTATGTATTTTTTCTTTGTATCAGGTTGCCTTTGTTTGATATATGCCAACATCTAGTGGCAGTTTTTGCCCACTACAACTATGTAATTTGTTTTCTTCCTTTGTTATTCCTTCCTGTTTAGTGCTAGTTAGTTTAGTGCTAGCTAGACACTCCCTGTTTTTATCCATGTTCCCTACATGATAGTATTTTGCACATACAGGGCTTAGTAAAGCCACTGTCTACTTACACTTCAAAATACTGGAAAAACATCCTCTGTAATGCAATTATTTGAAGTATTATTGCATTGCAATCAATGTCTCTGTCTTATTGAAGAGTTAAACTGCCTGTGGATGCTTCCAAATTAGCAGGTGACCATACTATCCAGATAGACTAGGTCTATCTATGGGTATGGTAAGTATTTGAAGCAGAGCAACCACAAACATTTAAAGAAATTTCCCAAGCATGTCATTTAGAGGAATGGTGTTTTCCCCATGTCACTCATGAAGCTGCATTAAAAGGACCCTTTCCCTGCTGTATGGTATTTTTTAAAATATGTTTTTGCTTTGGTAAATGTCCCTCATTGCAATGCTCAACTCACCATGAGCTTTTTTGTCAATAGCTTGCCTATTTGCCTTGAAAAAGGACAGAATTTAGTAAGACAATTTGCTGCCCCCTCATACATTCAATGCAGGTGGAGAACCCCATATCCTTAAAACCACTAAAAAATGCTATGCAGTAACAATAGATCATTCATTCCAAGTCACCAAAATGACCCATGTGAGGTGGTCTGTAGTATAGTAAATGGTAATATGAATAATTTAACATGGATCTTTTTATAATCTCCTCACATTTTTTTTTTCAGGATGTAGATACTTGTAGTTTGGATAAGACTGAACTCGAAGTAAAACAAGGCCAGCTGAAGGGAATTATCGAGCTGCTGACCACTGTCTATGAGCATGTAAATAAGAATTTTTCCCAAATTCTGTGTGTCTGTAGCCTTACTTTTCCCTTACCTTGTGTTCTAGCCCAGTGAACAAAAATCTTGATTGTATGCTATGGTTTCTTGCATTTCGCATTATATGCCTGGCTGTGCTTCCTGCGTTGCTTTCTGTAGACATTCTCTGAGCATTCTATTGCATTTCTTCTTGTTGACTATCCCCACTTATCTCATGTCTGCCTACATGTCTATCACTGCCCTTTATAAATAATAACCACAGATGCATTAGCAAAGGTAAATAACATCCTGGTCACATCGGGTGTGACTTGCCATGCGATTTGCATGCCACAAGACTTGCAAATCGTATGCCAAGTTGCACCCTATTGTCCACAATTACAGCGGTCAAATAGGTGCGATTCTGACTTGGCCGATTTCTAAAGTAGTATGTGTACTACTTGTGGTGCAATTTGCAGATGTCTTGCAAATCGCACCTGAAATCGGCATGTTCCTCGACTTTGAAATCGTGCGACTTCACTGTAAGTCGCACGATTTCAAAGTCGGGCTTGATGTGACCGGGGTGTAAGCAAGGATCAACCCAAACTGCACTGATCCACACACAAAAAAAAATTGAACAATTAGGTCTCATGCATACTGGGCATTTTTTCAACTGCTCCTAAGGGCGTCTATTGTTTTTTTTTCCTGTCTCTAAACATATCTGCATGTTAGCCTATGTGTCCATGAACGCATTGGTTTTTAGAGGAGTTTAGCGGTAGAGGCCACTGCCAGTGCATCCAGGAGCAGCCGCATTTTGACAGAAAAAATGCTTAATGTGTGTAAATGTTTGTTTACGTTAGGCAAATTTGGCACTTGAGCATCATTCATTTTAATGGCCAGAATAAATTATTTCAACAATATGTTGGCCATCTGCACACAGACACCAACTCCCTGCTGTATAAATGTAATGAGATGGGTAAAAGTTGGCCTCAGCTCCTGTTCTCCACCTGTAAGATTATGCCCAAAAAGGGGGAAATGCATCTGAGTTCTCTACAAGTGGGGAACAGGAGCTGAAGCCATGTTTTCCCAATCTCATTACATTTATGCAACAGGGAGTTGGTGTATGTGTGCAGATGGCCAACATTTTGTTGAAGTCTAAAGGAGCCACTATTGCTTAACCAACAACCTTGCACCTTCATAACAAATTAAACATGGAAATGGTTGTTGAATTGGAAGGGCAAGGCCACAGCTTTATTTATTAATTATTCTTACAAATTCAGTGAATAACTCCAACATTAAACATAATGTTCCAGCAAATCAAGATATCAGTTACAGCGAAGCTGTAAGCACCAAATACTATAACATAGCCTAGACTCCTGTTCTAACCATCAGTTCAGGACAGGCACTGTCCTAACATAAAATCACTGAGGTTATTATCCAGATCATTTGTAGCTGGCAGCGGGAGCCAATGAGGAGAGAGACGGGGCGGGACCAAGCCACGACTCTGTGTGCGAAGGGGAGTGAGCCTGTTTGGGTGCCCCCATATCAAGCTGCTTGCTGTGAGGGTACTTGGCAAGAAGAAGAAGAGGCCAAGAGCGCCAGCAGGGGACCCGAGAAGAGGAGGACCGGGCTGCTCTGTGCAAAACCACTGCATAGCAGGTAAGTATGACATAATTGTTTTTGTTTTTTTTATTGCCTTTAAAATCACTTTAATCTCCTCACTCAAGAGAGAAAAAAAGAAGTGAACTTAAAACTTTTTGTGCATCCCCCGAATCAGACTGATGGTCAACAATAAACAAGGATATTTTCATGTAATGAAAGCAAACACAGGGAACACACTGCCCCTACAAAGGTAGGATGTATACAGTATACTGGCAGGCTAAAATGCTGGTGATTGGATTTCTGCTTTAAAGCTACCACCTAATTATTTTTTTTGGGTAATATCTCCACTATAAGAGCATGGCACACACATGGTTGGAATGTAAAACCAATACTCTCCACAAAAAGTAAGATTCCATTAAATGTGTCCCTTTTTGTCCTAGGAGCTGAAAGGAGTGATGGAGGAGTCTGGAGATATATCAGTTCTGTTGAACATGGACAGCAGATGTCCTTTGAAATTTGAAAATTTAGTACAAGAGATAAAGGAACGATATGAAAGCATTGCAGTAAAAAGTCGAGAAGAAGCAAGGGCTCTGTCCCAGAAAAAGGTAGATAAAAAATATACAACAGTCACTGCATCTGTATTGAATTATTATAAAATTCAAATATGCACATGTTACATTAAACTCATAAACAGCAGTATATTAAACATTAATAAATATTCTTAAACAATAATACTGACATAGGCAGAAATTGACCACTTCTCCTACAATCTGTAGCTGCAAATAATCACATACGCTATAAGATATTATCCTTTTTTATTAGTAACTTCCAGAGGTTATTGCAAGTATTATCACTGCAGTTCTAAATACATTACAGTCTATAAGCCAAAAAGACTATTTGTTTACACCCGCCTACCCCCAGGTTTGATCGGGTTTGCTAAAAAAAAAGAAAAAACAGAAGGAGAGCCGTCCTTGTCTGTTTAGATTGATTGGATTGGAGGGATATCGGAGTCCACTTACCCCAGGTCTCCCATAGGGCAGAGCAGTGTCAGATGTGTCATCCTCCTACTCTGCTTGATCAGCAGGGGATCAGCTTACATATCAGTTGCAAGAATGTGATTAACAATAAGAATAGCCGTAACATTTTGCCAATAGGATACAAGAAAGGCAATGTACAGTGTGTTAGTTCAGGCTGAGGGCGAGCTAACAATGCTGGGTCTGAAGATGATCATTAAAAAACACCTGAATAGATGCAGGTCTGGCTAGTGGATAGCATGCAAAAGGAAGGAGGGGAGGCTTATTAGATTATTAAGTGCAATTCAGTTTGAGTGGCAGGTGAAACGTCAATTGGATGATCATTGGATAAAAGTCTGAGTTGATACCATTGGGTATAATGGAAGCATTACACTATAGATTGTTTGGTTTCTACAGGCAAGGTTTGGATGAAAGACCACCAAACCTAAAATATGTTTGAACCTTCATTTCTTATGCAAGGTGGCCTCCACCCATTCCATACAAAAAAGTAGGTTAGCTTATTTCTAAATAGATAGTGGGGGGTTCCAGGTAAATCCAATTATGTAAAATAGTTTTCCAGCCAATTTTTTTGTACAGTAGAGTAGACCCCTGTCAGTTCATTTTTCCCATTGGGAAGATTTCCATTTACTTCCTGTCCTTCCTGATGCAAGAGAAAGTGAGAAAAATGTCTCTACAAAGTGAGGTGAATTCCCTTTTATAGGTTTGTCAGAGAAATATGTATTTCTATTGGAAGATTTGTTCACCTTCTGTAATAGGCACACCTGGACAAAATAAGTTGGGGAATCTCCCCAGCAGGGACAAAGACAGCAATAAATATATAATATGACAGGGGCTCCAACCTTTCCGGCACTTTAATTGTTGAGGCAGAAAAGCAAAAATATGACATAAATGTCACACAAAACCCCAAAAAACAAATTACAAAATAATGTGCATGCACTTTTGCCATCCATTTCTGAAAAAAGTAGGTAATATATTTCATTTGTGTGCCCTGTAATCTCAGGTCCTCAGACAGTTCTCGTCTCCTCTTTCTGTTGTCACCATGCTTAGTGTGGCACAGACAGACACACAATGCAAAGGTTAGTGAACGTCTCTCCTTTTTATCTGCTTTCAGGTGTGATTTCTAACCTTAGTGTATTTTAACTGATATTTTGGCCAACAATTTCGGCCATGACTGTATTTCATTTGTGTGAGCCCTGTTAATTTACCTCATTTTAACTGATATTTTGGCTTCATCATAAACTGTTGTGCTAATATCATGTGTAGCACTACCCCCTCAAGATTTGCTGATGAATTGGGTCCCCCTGCAGTCCTGCACAGCCAAGCATTACACATCTTCACAAAAGCTTGCATCCAGAAATCAGTCCTTGAGCAATGGTTTTGTTATTTTATGTAGGGTATTTGAACTGGGATAGGGTTAGGGGTGCACAGAATGCCCAAGGGTACTGATGAACTGAGGACAACTTTCTAGAACTATTTGCAAGCCTTCTCTGCAACACAGTCTCTGTTGGAGAGCTAGCCAGCGTCTCCTTTGTGTACTACCCCAGATGAACTTCTCCTCACCCAGCAATATGGAGGTATCCCTGAGCAGGGGATCCAGTTCCTGTCCCTTTAATTAGATGATCAGGCACAAGTAGGGGGCTAATCTGGTTTCCCACCAGAGTGCTCCTTCCTCTATCTGCCCAGGGGGGGGTATAGGTGTACTCACTCAGATCCTCTCCTCTACCGCTTGTGGGTTGTACTCAATCAGATCTCCTCTCCTCTACGCTTGTGGGTTGGCTGCTGCTACTAGGCCTATCAGCTGGGCCTCTCCTTCCCTGCCCTACAGGTGGACCTCTCCAATAAGTTCCAAGCTTTCCCCCTTTCCTGCTCCAAGCTTGCAGGCAGGCCCCATCCCACTAGGCCTCCTGGCAGCCTCCTTCCTCACAGCCTTCCATCTTCCTCTCTCCTTCTTCCACCCGACTTCTCACACTCCTGCCACTGAGCAGGCTCCAACACTTTTTAAGGGTGTCCAGCCCTTTGCCAACCTCCTGTTGGGGATTAGCTAGGACTTCTCAAGAGTTCAACCAGCCACTCCTCAGATTCACCCACTGCCCCTGAGGCCTTCCTCCAAAAGACCTAGAGCAGGGGGAAATTCCAGAGAGGCTGGCCTGCAGAGCCTCTCAGCTCTGGCCACAATTTGACCCCTCTCTGGCTATTAAACCTGAGCTGCTGCTCAGCCCCTGTCTAACTATTGGAGTCTAGCTCCCCCTAGCTGTCAATACATATTACATAAAAAAGTTAACAATTGCCACTACCACTATTTATTCTTTAGGGTCTTTGCTTTTAGAAAATATATTAGGGGGAATTCATTAAAGCTGCTGCACCACTTTTCTGGTGTTAATCCCTCTTGATAACGTGTTGAGCCAAATTCATGAAGCATCTGTGACACTTTGGGTTCTAACAATGACTTGTGCACCAAATTCAGGTAGTTCTAAAATACGCCACTTTTACATTGTAGCACGATGCCTGTGCCAGATTCAAAATAACTGACAGTTTGTATCTTAGGAAAGTGGAGCTACTTAAGACCAATTCTTTTTTGTAGTAGAGAGAGAAATCCTGGGGCAGACATATATTTTAGGAATGTGTCTCAGCATGCACCAAATTCAAATAAAAGTTCTAGGCAGGTACGTGAATTTGGCACATGCTGCACCACTTTTAAAATGCATGTGAGACACCTTCATAAAATCTGTCTGCACCAGTCTTTAGGAATTCAAGGGAAAATGTTTGGCAGGATTTACAGTATTTCATCATCAGGCCTAAAATTACTTTTAAACGTGCAAAAAATGAAAAAAAAAAAAAGGCTCTGGCAGTTAAAAGGTTAATGGATTTGTGTATTTTCAGTGTTGATTTTCAAGCCACATAAAAAGGCTCTTTCCCTTCTGTAAAGTATTTCTTTCTTTTTTAACTTTTTTTTTTGCATCGGTACCTATTAACCATAAAAATGGCCAAAATTTCACTATAAGAATTGTCCACCATAGATTTTATTGGGATTCATGTCTAAGTTTGGGTTAGCTGAAAAGCCAAAGAAAGAACAGCGAGCTCTAGGTGTGCAGAGTGGACAATTAAAGAGAGATGGCCCATAAAACTGCATAACCTCGATATGACTATGTATTATCATCCCAAGGGAAGTTTCATTTCCTGAACAAACTGCATTGCAAACTAAAAATGATTAGCTGGTAGTTAATCACATTCAACTGGGCTTTTTAAGTTATGTTAAAGATGTTTCACCACACATCAAAGTGACTTCCTTAGTCCTTCCATAACTTGGATAAATTAAAAACCTTCATTAAAATACTACAGGATGTATTGATATAGCAGTATAGTGATAGTAAAGGATGAGTTCACCTTTCTAAAAAAAAATAATAAATGCAAATTTTTACAGGTAAAAAAAAATATTTATATAAATAAATATAAATTAATAATATCAGCAGATCGAGTGTGCAATACAGGGTTCCTGCAGAATGACATTGTATCTGTCTGCCCGTACCTTGTGCAGGCAGGCAGTCACTCAATGACAAGAAGACTCAATGAACTACCTAGAGCACTCAGTAGTACCCCCCTGGAAGTTCATTGAGAATGTCTGCAAGCTGTCAGACGCAAAAGCTGTCGGTACATGTAGTTCATTCATTCACAGAACGCTGTGAAAAAATGATGCGGCCATGTGGGTGGAGGGCTGCACAGCCACATTCTTTTCAAATTGTGACAGTGGGTGCAGGAAATAGATCCTCGACCCACTGTCACAATTAGAAGAAGAATCGAGGACAGGCTGCAGGAGCGGGAACATGTTACATGTTGCACCCTAAAAAACGAGTGGAACATGTAACATGCTCCGAAAAGTGAACTTAGTCTTTAACCAGTCATTCACTGCAGGTGAATCAATACACATGCACCAAAAAGATACACCTGCATTGAATATTTGGTGATTGTCACATTCACTGCTTTATAAACAAACGCCATGTCTTTTGTTTTAAAGTAGAACTAAAAGCATTTAGAATAGAGTAAAGGATAGTTATAAGCCCTATACGGTTTATCTTTGATGTCTTTTTCCCATAGGGGGATTTACCATCAGTTACTGTCCCATAGCTAAAACAGGAAGTAAGAGAAAATCCCTCTAAAGTAAGGAAATCTTTGGTTGTCACCAGGCTCACCAGAACTAGTGTCCCCATTGGAATACAATATCACCATTTCTGTAATGGGTACAACCCAAAATTTGGGATTTATTTTATTTTCACGGTGATAATGGTAAAAATGATAAATAGAAGGTGAATCTTCCTAACCATGACACAGACAGCAAAAAAACCCTAACAGGTGTTCTAATTCCTCTCCCCTCTATCCAAAACTATAAGTAAGTTACTCCTTTAGTTATACTTTCATGGAAATAATGTGCCCGCAGTCTTCTATGTAATTTGACCACAAACCCCTATTGCCCTTACCTAGGTTCCTTTGATGAACTGAGCCATGGTTCTCATGTATAATTTTGTTCTCAGTGC